CCCCCCCCCCCCCCCCCCCCCCCCCCCCCCCCCCCCCACCCGCCATCTCATCAGCCCTGAATTCTAAACTTTCGCAGCGCTGGGCCCCTCTCGTTTAAGCACTGGTCACATTTTACATTTGTCACGTGTTCGCTTCTCGAGGATGAGGTTCACTTCGCTCACCGGGAACCTCGCACCTACAACGAGCCTCTTGGGACAAGCCTCCTTACGACTAGACCAACTACCAGCCAGGAGGGTGGTGCCATGCCCGGAAGAGCAGGTTAGCGCACAGGAAACCGGAAGTCCATGCCCACTGGGGGCGTGGTTTTTCCGGAGAGCGTGACTCGCCACTCGGCTCGAGTGCGCAGGCGCAGTGTCGGCGCTCTACTCTGGATCATGGCGGCGCGTTCCCTGTGGGCGGTGCAGCGGCTGCAGCGCCTCCTGGCCTCGGGGGCTATGTCAGAGTGCAGGTAAAAGGGGCGGCGGGGCTGGGCAAGCAGCGGCGTGAGCGCGGCGACGGGCAACCATGGGAGGGAAGACGAGGGCTAGCCGGGCGCCGGCGAGGACCGGCCTCAGGTCCCATGACCCGGCGCGTCCACGCCGCGTCTCTTCCAAGGGAGGCTGAGGCCCGTAGGCGCGCTTTTCTCAGCCAAGGAAGATAAGTGGATCCCAGGCCGTGTCCTAGGAGGTAGATCCCCAGGCATTACTGAATCAGAGACGAACTCTTTCCTAGCCCCTGTTCACCTGTTTCTTGCAGTGGTGGATGTATTGGGGGTTCTTAGCCGGACTCCGGCGGTCTTAGAGCAAACTTCTCTACCTTCCACCTTCTCAGGGGCGCTCTTTACCTGACTGTAAAAGGAAGGCACTAGACCTGGGTTCTCCTAATGGCCATCCCATCAGTCTTAGGGATCCTTTAAATTACAGTTGCCATCAGTGGACTATAGGACTGTAGTTAGTTCTTTTTATTATTTCATGTTTAATAGTTGAGGAAACTGGAATTTAGGAAAATTTTTGCTAACTCCTCCAGACTTAAATCTTAAGGAAGTTATCCTGTCAAGAAAGCAGTTGTGACTCACGAACAGGTGTTTTGTGTTAGTTCATTCCTGAGAATGAATAAAAAGACTGTCTATGAGTTAGAGAACTCTGACTTGTAAATTAGCTCTAGGGAAATCCAGGAAATTTGCATGGCCATTTGTCACTCCTTTTTTTTTTTTTTTTTAAATCTTAGTACACCTGACCTAACACCCGCCATACCAGAGCTGTGAGGTGTTGTATTTAATGCTTAGGGCAGGGTGGTTTGTTTTCAAACCTTTGGCAGTTTGTTGGGTGAGGTAAGGAAATAATCAAAGATTAGTTTCTTCGGAAGGAGTAACTATTCTGAGCACTGACCTTTTTTCTCTTTAAATTGGTCCTGTTTTGACTAGCTATCTGTTTATCCAGGATAAATGTAGTTTTCTAGGAGGGATGGTCTTTGACCGTGTGTAATTTGCTCCAGACATACCTATGATAACTATATTTTCTGAACCAAATATTTGGAACCATGTAGAATTGGATAGCAGACCATAATAAAATTCTAGACCAGCCTGAAAAGTCTGAGAGAGAAAAGTTCTCTCACCTGTGAGGTCAGGCTGGCTCTACACTCTGCCTAGAGTGCTCTCTTAAATCTTTAAGTTTCTGCCATCTCAGTGACCACTGTCCAGTGTATCCCCATTCCTATAAATAATGAACAGCTTGCTTTAAAGAGCTCTTGGACCTGGTAGGGTTTTTTTTTTTTTTCACTTGAAATAATTACCAGGATCCAGGAGGGGTGATGGTGATAACTTCCTTAAATTAGAGGTCAGGACTGCCACATTCCCAGATCTGCCCTGAACAAGGTCCTAGACTACATTTCTATGTAAACTGAACTATTTTAGTAATACCAGGTGTAAGGGCTCATCTCCCTATGCCCATAGAAGCCAAGGACAGGTACACACACAGTTTTACTGCAAGGTCTACTGTTGAGGAAGTCAGAAGCAGAAAGTTTACCTTCTTTCCCCAGTTGATAGGGGAATTACAGGGAAAGGTGTTTTTCTTTTTCGTTTAGGTGGTGAGAATGGGAAAGATCTAGGTTCATTTGTGCCAATGTACATGTCATCATGTCTCTTCACAAGTCATGTGTTTCTTTTTAGGGGTTCATTATGTTTTGTGCTTATGATTCTGAGCTTGTGCCATCAAATGTCATTGGCAAGGCAAATTGGCTTGTGGGAATGTCCTTTCTTTAAAAGCCTGTGTGAAAGTTCCCTGAAAGGATCCTGGAAGCAATTCCTGAATTTGTGTCCCCGTTGTTGAGACCTTAGCCATTTCATTAGCTGTGCATGACATTACTAGTTGATTATTAGATGACATTACTAGTTGAACAAAACCTAATTGACTAGAACTAGATTCTGTTTTAGTGACCTATTTCATCCATAGGCTATACCAGTCATAATTTCTCTTTCACTGTACAGATCTTCCTCCCTCCTTGAAAGCCTTACAGCATGTGGTCTGAAAGTCTTAGCTAAGCTTAACTGAATTTCTTTTACTCTTCTTCCACTTCTGTAAGATAAGAGTTAAACCAGAACCTTGTTACTTTGTGTGAGTTTGTATGCTAAATATCCTGGCTCAACAGAACACCAGCTGTATGCGTTTCTTTTGTTTTTGGTTGGGGGAGGGTGGTGAGTGTTTCTTTGAGGCAGGCTTTTACTGTGCTATCAAAAAGATCCACCCATATCAGCCTCCCAGTACCTGAGATTGCAGGTAGTCAGTCCCATGCTACTATGCCCAGCTTAACTTTGCAGTCCATAACAAGTCATTAAACCACAAGCCTCTCATCTTGAGTTTTTCATCACTAAAGTAGGGTTTATTGTGGGAACTGGTGAGTGAGTCCTGAGTCTTGCCTGTGTTGACAGGGACCAGCCATCCCCAAAACTCCAGAGTCTCAGACCTATGGAGGAATGACAAAACCCGTTCTCTCTGCTAGTACGGAATTTAACAATTGAATGTAGCCCAACAGTTAATAGTGGAAGTATAGAAAAGGTCTACCATAGCTCCCCCCCACACTTGATGTTGACTGCTCCCCTACAGAGATTGTTTCTACTGAGATTAACTAAACCTGCCCCCTTGATCCAGCTGTATACCATCAGATCTACCTCCTTGTTTATCTGTGTGTAATAACCCCGCCTCCTTGTTCAGCTTTATGTAATAACGCTGTTCAATCTATATACTAAACTATATATAATCAAAGCTTCCAGGGTGCTGAGGTCTCTCCAGCCAGGAGACTAACTGATCCCAGCTTTCTGCCTCTTCACGCCAGTCATCTGTCCTTGGAGCCATTTGGATGCAGCAATTGGCGCCCAACCTGGGACATGGACAGTGATTTTGGGAAACTCTTATTGGTCAGATGAGGGACCACTTCCATGAGAAAGTATGCTTATGCAGGTAAAATGGGGGAAATGAGGTAGAAAAAGATAAAGAAAAATGAGAAAGACATAAAGCTAAAGGAACAAAGGGTGAGAGGGCATGCAATTCTGAGTGTTGGGTATAAGAAATATGGGACATGTAGATTCTAGAGATGGGCAGTTATATTTCAGTACTTAGAGATTTTGAGAAACCCTGAAAGCAGGGTAAAAACATTGCAGCCCCATCAGTGTATTACCGGGAGACAGGTATTCCTTGACAGATTGTTTTCACTAGCAGCCTCCATCACTACAACAAGGCACACCCCCAGTGGAAATGTTTTTCCTAGACCGTTTGACCATCAGAGAAACTGGTCTGTAGATAATTGGCTGTTTTGCAGCATCGGGTGGGGTATTCACTGCAACTGCTGCTTTGGTGGAAAACAGTTACAGGCCAAACACAGAATGGCCCAGTAGCCCCTGGAACATCCAGTCTTTGTTATAAAAAAAGAAAGAAATAGGTGAATGGAGGTAGTTACAGGGTTTGAGAGCCATAAAGTCATGCATGCGGGCAGTGGATCCCTACAGCAGGACTGCCGTCGCCTACTGCTGTACCATTATATTTCCATTTATTTTTGCCATTCCTCCATGGACCTGACATGGGTCTTTGACATGGGCAAAGCTTTGACATCAGCTTCTTTTCCCATCAGTGTTTACAGTGACAACACCTGTATAGTCAGAATAATACAAGCCTGGATCAAGAGTTATGCCATCTTTTATGTAGGACCCAGAACTTTTGCTACGTTTGTCATATTTGGTGACACTGAGGTCTCCCTCTGCCATTGGCTGAAGGTAGTGTATGGGCCAACACCTTGGTCTCAGGATGCCTGCTCTGCTTCTTTGCTGCTGTGTAGTCTGGCTTAATACAAGCCCTTTATAGTCATGCTCTGTACCATCAAAACGACGCCTCTGTGTGCCATAAATTTATCTCCCCAGAACTGGCTAGGCAAGGAGTTAAGCAGTGCACCCACTGGGTTCCTTTTGAACCTGTCACACGTGAAGTGTTAGCTCCATGTGGTTATATCACAATCCTCTCTGGCAGATGGATGTTACTCATGCCTCCTCCTTTGAGAGATACAGTTTGTGCATGTTTAATGCTGATACCTATTCTCAGATTGTTTATGCCTCTGTTAACATAGGAGGCTGCAGAGCATACCTCACTGCATTGCTGCATTTGCCAGTTTGAGCTATCCACAGCATCTTTAGGTGGAAAATATTCCTATTTATACATCTTCTGCATTAAAGACTTTTGTGCCCAACATAAACTAGCTCACAACACAAGCATTCCTTAAAACCCCAGGGGCAAGCTATTGTAGAAAGATCCCACAGATATCTCAAACAACAAAGAAACTAAAGGGGGTGGAGATCTACCCCTACCCAGTTATCTCAACAAGCCCTTGTTTACATTAAAATTTTGAATTGTATAATAGTCAACCTCACTGCATAGAATGACACTGGTCACTAAAGGACAGAATAAAACCTAAGGTGCTATGGAAAGATGTCCTGACAGGAGAATGATCTGGCCTATGCTAATGTGGGGTGAGGATATGTTTGTGTTTTTCCTGAAGGTGCAGAACGGCCACTTTGGGTACCTTCAAGGCCTGTAAAGGTCCATGGATCCAATGAAAAGCCTGTCTCCAGGTATGAAGAGGCTGAGACAGATTCCACAAAGAGTGACTTTGTAGCACCTGAGGGCAAGAAGGCAGTCCAAAGGGGCAGAGTGGGGGCACGAGCATCAGAGAGCCAAAAGGCAAACGCCAAAAGATGGCAACTTTGCTGTCTGACTGGTGCTGAGTACTGCAGCACACTGTTACTGGACTAGGAGTGAAGATTCATCCTGAACATCTGAGAAATAAGAAACGGGGAGATGTAGGGAGCAGAGAAAGAAAGCCCTGAGAGAGATTGAAGTCCTTAGTGAATGTATGTGGTGACTTGAGCTGCCCATGTCAAAGACCCCAGAGCCTCAGACCCATGGAGGAATGGCAAAGCCTTCCTCTGAGGAGTGAGTGTGAGTGTTGGCAGTGTATGCAGATGTCCACCATAGCCTCTCCCTCTGGATATTTATGACTCAATGACTGCTCCTCTACAAAGACCGCTCCTACTGAAATTAACTAAACCTGTCCCTTGATCACCTGTCTCAGCCTAAATTCCTATGTGTAACCTCATATTTTCTACTTGTCAGTAAATTCATTCTATTCCTATTCTTTTTCATTAAAAAGCTTGTTAGTTATTTCCTTATCACAAATACATGAATGTATCTGAGACATTCTAAATGAAAAACTGCATCTAAGTGACTATCTGTTATGACTTTGTTGACACTAAGCATCCTTAAGGCATGTCTGTAGAAAACAAAATATTGTCAGGCTTAACTGAGGCAAACAATTTAAGAGGAAATGGTAAGTGATGTAATAAGTACAAGCCTTCCTTTTATAGTGACAAAGATGTTCTGAAATTGTGTTTCAGAATTTGGTTGACTCTGGACATAGTAAAGAGTTTGAATTGTACAGTTTAAATGGTAAATTGTATGGCATGACAGCTACATACTGATCAAACTTTAATTGTGTGAGAATTTTGCCAACTTCTTGTTTGCACCACCTGCTTGCCTGCTGCCCACAGAAGCAAGAAGGAATTAGATCCCCTAGACTACAGGTGGTTGTAAGCTGCCATATGGAGTGTTTGGAATTGAATCCAGGTCTTCTGGGAGAGCAGCCAGTGCTCTTAACTGCTGGGCTGTTTTTCTCACCTTAAAGCCATTGCTTTTAAGAGCACTTTAAAATCTAGTCATGTTTCAGGTACTGAGTGATTAAAAACATAAGGCAGATGAAGCAGAAAAATGCCTAGGAAGGACTTCATTGTTTGTCACCAAGACTGATTGAAAACCGTTGAGGGTTTCAGTGTGGGTGCTTTGGGCTCTAACTGTTGTGGTTTTGCGTTTGTGTGCCACTGCCCCGCCCCACCCTCTTAGGGGATGGCAACACCCATTCAGCACAGCCACCCAAAGGACTGCTGGGGAAGACTGCAGTTCTGAGGATCCTCCTGATGGACTTGGTCCCTCTCTTGCTGAACAGGCCTTAAGGCTAAAAGCTGTTAAACTGGAAAAAGAAGTCCAGGATTTAACAGTGAGTAACAGATTTTACATTATTTGTTGTTTATGTCTCTTTTCTGGTTTAAATGTCCAAGCTAAGTTTTGTGTGTGTGTATCTTTTTTAAAAATAAATTTTCCTCTAAAATGGCTCTTTAACCTCTTTCTGCACTGCTCCCTTGCCCCCCCCCACCCCCTGCCCCCAAAAAAGTCTGGTTTTTAAAAAGCCACGTGGCTAAGAATGTGCCTCCCTTTGGCTCCCTCTTGTATTGTAGCATTTAGACAGCTGATGGCTTGGCAAGGTACAGGTGACTCGGTACCAGTCAGGTGACAGAGAGTAAATATTTGTTGGGTGTGGTAGGTCGTTCTACTCTACTAGTCAGAGGACATCTGGCCTACTGGACACAGTCGTGATTGAGCACTTTGAGAAGAGATCGATAAAGCAGAAAAATTACAAAGCAGAGCAAAGCCACTCTGGACTAAAGGGTGTTGGGAAGCATGTCTTATGAGAGCAATTAAAGAAACCAGGAATTAAAAGGGAGAAGAGGACTAAACGGGCTGAGAACTGCCTTGAAACAGGTGATAGGTTTTAAAACTTACCTAGTCATATTAGAGTTCAAATTAATGAAAGAAAGCTTGGCAGTGTTACCTAAACTGGAAACTCTTTTCTCTGAATAATGAACTTGAACCTGATGTGTTGAAGTTAGTCGGAATTAACTACAAGCTACTGAAAGTGTAAGTAGGTTACCTCTTTGGCAGTGTGTAGAGCAATCAGCCTCATGCTGTTTGTTTTTGACAACTGGTATTATTGGAGCCCTTGTGCATGCTGAGAGAGCCCTGTCACTGTGACAAGCATGAGATTCATAAAGTAAAAGCATTCTTCCCTATGATTTCTCATCCTTTGATTTTGCGTCTGATATTTAGCTGAGATACCAGAGAGCCGTGGCTGATTGTGAAAACATAAGGAGGCGAACCCAGAGATGTGTGGAAGATGCGAAGATATTTGGTAAGACCTGAGTCACAAATTAATGAATTTAGTTGAAGGGCAGGCACCTTTGTAGCACCTTTGTAAACCGAGTGTAAGTAGAAATATGCCTGAGTCCCTAACTGATCTCATCCTCCTCCCACTGTCTCCACTGTCAGCCATTGCCATGATAATGCCAGCCTTTGTTTTTCTAAGCGTGTACAATTAGTAAATTTCCAACATTCTAGGCTGTCCACGGCCTTTTCTGTCATTAATGAACCAGTGAATCTTCAAGACATTCGAAGGAGAATCCAAAGAACAGTGCATAAGCAGGGACACTAAAGTTTGCTCAGTGTAAGCAACATAGATCTGTATCCACAGGGAAAGTCTGCGCTGCTGTGGATGAGAATTCTTAGTTGCTGTCAGTACTCCACAAGTTGGTGATTTATAGAACAGCCTGAAGGAAGCTAAAATTTTGAGGAGGGGGAAGGAGAGTGGGAGGGAGTCAGTCCAAGTTTATAGCAAGGCTCAGCAAACTATAGCCAGTTAATATATACTGTTTTAAATGTCATGATTTTCTTTAAAATACATATAAACTTGTTTTCTCTTTACCTACAGAACATAAAATCCTTGGCTTTTGCCTCTTGTCCCACAAAGCCTAAAATGCTTCCTGTGTGGCCTTTTACAGAAGACAGTTGTTGGCTGCTGAGTTTTGGAAATGTCTGTTGCAAATAGCAGTTTTAGCAATGGGAGAACTTCTGATGTTCCACCTGCTTGATGAACAAGATGGATGGACACCAGAAGTCAAGCTTTGAGTTAGAACTAGTTATTATCAGTTTACTCAAATGGTAAGACATCTGGGAACAAACTCATGTTAGCTAACTGCTAGCCAGTTTATTATCCTAAAATGTATCTAGCCAAAGAGTCCATAGCAGTCATTAGCCGAAGGAATTTCCTCCTGGTGACCAGAAATACTTAGGAAGCCAAAAGGTTTTTGAATGATCATGGAGAGAACAATGGGGTTTTGTTTATTTTGTTTGCTTTGTGGTTTTTTTTTTTCTTTTGAGACAGGGTCTCTCTATGTAGACCAGTTCGAGGCTGGCCTTGAACCTACCAAGATTCCTGCCTTTGCCTCCTAAATGCTAAAATTAAAGGTGGTGAGCTACGGTACCTGGCAGAAAGTATAGCATTTTTAACAGATATAGCATTACAACTGTCTCATCTCCTTGCATGCATAGTTTTAACTTTTGTAGTCTATCTTCTTGGTCACAAAGATTATTTTTTCCAAGAGATTACTACCTATTAAAATAATGTAATAAATTGGGACTGAGGAGATGGTTCAGTGGGTAATTTCTTTGCAAGCATGAAGGCTTGAGTTGAGATACCCAGAACTCATGAATAAAAAGGTCAGGAGCGCGCCGGGCGGTGGTGGCGCACGCCTTTAATCCCAGCACTTGGGAGGCAGAGGCAGGCGGATTTCTGAGTTCGAGGCCAGCCTGGTCTACAGAGTGAGTTCCAGGACAGCCAGGGCTATACAGAGAAACCCTGTCTTGAAAAACCAAAAAAAAAAAAAAAAAAGGTCAGGAGCGTAACTAACCCCAGTGCTGGTAGGGAGGAGACAGACAGTTCCTAGAAGCTCACAGGGCACTCACTTTGGCTGAAGTGTCCAGATCTGTAGCCAATAAAAGATTGTGGAAAACTGAGAGCAAGACCATCCAGTGTTGACCTATGCTGACTTTTGCTGGTGTGCACATACAGGAAAGCATATGCAGACATCTTACAGAAAGTAATCGTAATGCAGTAGTGAGAATGCAGTCAGAGACTGGGCCTTGGTGTAGCAAGAATTGGGCTTCTGTTTAGCCAAATTTCCACTGCTTCACCGAATTAGAAGCAAGGTTTCTCCTGGCAGTACCCAGGTCAGCACAGCTTGCTGCTTTCAAACTTGTACTGGAGGCTGAAGATGTAGCTCAGCGGCTGAGCAGTGGGCTTGAGCTTGAAAGACAGTACTGAAAACCCAGTCTGCTCTCAGTCGGGCCTTGTTCCTCTGAAGCACCTTCTGCTCACCCTTCTCTCGGCTGCCTCCTCTCCTACTCTAAACTAGATGATACCACACTGCTTCACGTGGCACTAGGGTTTATTCCTTCCTTGTGGGCCCATTTGAATGCCTGTAAATCAGCAGGCACGGTGCCAACACTGCTGCTGTTGGACCAGCCTGAATCAGGTTCCCACTGTTTTCCTCGAGGAGCTCTACCAAGTCTTATTCCCTAGCACTTAAAGGGAGAGGTCCTTCCTCCTCTTGTCTGCCGTATTCTGGCCAGCTTTCTCAGATCTCTCTATCGGTGTTTTTCTATTGCTTACATGGGGCTAGTCTAGGTAGCTATCCATTTGGCATGGCTGTAAATCTGTCCATAGAGTCCTTAGTCTTCACCCGTCCTTGCTGGGCATGCATAACTAATGGTGACCATTCCTTATCACAGTCAGAGTGAAAACAGTGGGTTCTCAGCATCTGAGTTTTATTGTCATCTTGTAACAGTTCACATTGTTCTGAAAGGTTTCTGTGGACCTTTTCCAGCACCTTCTTCCTAGTAGGCCATAGGAAGGAAACTCACCTCATCTATAGGTATGCCATACCTTCCTGTCTAGCCAGCCTCAAGAACAAGTGGCCCTTGGCATCTTTAGCATAATGCGTTTTTCTGATTTGGTACTCCCAACCCATACCCTCCCAGTGAAATCATCCTACCTTCTTGAGAATGGCCCCTGCACAACTAAGATAAACTTGTTTTTAGTCTGTTTTATGTAGACTTACTTAGTCAAGTTGTAACTTCCCAGTTTCCCAGTAGGATTCCTGAAGATAGCTGTCTGTCTCCAAACAGATACACTTGGCAAAAAGACACTGATTGTCGATTGATCGGGGTGATCAGTTAAGCTGATCCCCAAGTTCTTCCCACTTTGAGAAATGCTAAGCATAACGTGTTCTAGCCATTTCCCTGGGCCTTCTCCAGTTCTGCCCCTGAGGTCAGCATTGTTCTCAGGCATGTGTTTGGTTTCTGTGTAGGAATCCAGAGCTTCTGTAAGGACCTGGTGGAGGTGGCAGACATTTTGGAGAAGACTGCGGAGTGCTTTTCAGAAGGAGCTGAACCTGAGGACCACAGGCTTATTCTGGAGAAAGTTTTCCAAGGGCTGTCCCTGTTAGAAGCAAAGCTGAAAAGCGTGTTTACCAAGCATGGCCTAGAGAAAATGACACCCATCGGTGACAAATACGACCCTCATGAGCATGAACTCATCTGTCACATGCCAGCAGGTGTTGGGGTGCAGCCTGGCACCGTGGCACTAGTTCGGCAGGATGGCTACAAACTTCATGGCCGTACCATAAGACTTGCGCAAGTAGAAGTGGCAGTGGAGTCTCAGAGAAGACTCTGAACAGGTCACTGGAACCAAACCCTCTCCCAGAGTCAGGCACCTTTATCTCCTTTATTTATTAAGCTGGTTTGTATTATACATGAGGTCTTTCGTGTGCTCCGTTTTGGATTTAGTCACATTGGCTGTATCTCTACAGTGTCCTATTGGGTTTATGTGACCTGTTTGGTCTCATCAGGAGTCCTGCCACTAGGCGTTTGAACAATATGACAAGTGTCATGTGGCCTTTATCAAAATGTTTACAAAAATCATTTAAATTGGTACTCTGATGACTGAATCCAAAATCTTACCTGTGTTTTCATCTAACTGCTGGAATTAGTGCAGTATGTTGTGTCTCGTATTTTGAGGGAAAGGGAAATGATAGGGACTGGTTTGACATTTAGGTACGTAGATGACAATGCCTTACCCTTGTATAAAGTTAGATCACTTGGGCTGGCAGGTAAAGAGATTTCCTAAGGCTCCTTTTTTATTTCACTTTTTTTCAGTCATCTCTCATGGTTTTATTCCCTGCCAGGGTCACACTTACACTGTTTCATAGCCACCCCTTTCTGGTCCCTTTTGGAAGGGCTACAGGATCAGGCCAGTCTTCCTTTCTTGTTGGTAAGGTGAATACATTTATCATTAAACTGGTCTCAAGTCTAAGAACAGGCAAGTCTTGGTTGCCTTGACAACACAACCCAATCCTAGGAAGACCAAAAGCCTCCACACATCTCAAGTTGGAGGAAAAGACTTTGGGGACCAGGCATGATGGCTGTCAATTTGAAAATAAAAACAAAATATTGAGGTGGGTAGTTTTTTTATAGTATATAATTTACACAAAAGTAATGCTGCTTGCCTCCCTTGCATGGACTTGGAATGAACCGGGCCATCCTTCTTTCTGGATTAGGGTGTGGGGCTGCTTTGAAGAGGACAAGGGACTTCCTATAGCAGCAACAATAAAAATAAATACAAAGTCCTCAGGCACATTGTAAAGCAGTTGCTGTCACCTTCACTATTCCAGTTTTTAAATCCTGAGTCAAAAACACCAAGAAAAAGAAAATTTTTGTATATTTATTATTGGCAAAAAGAACAAAGTTGTCTCAGTTCTGCATATGTTTTGTTAAGAAAAGGTGTGACACAGTGCCATCACTGTCCACCTAGAGTCATTGGCAGTGCACGAAGGAAGGGCCATTTTCCTTGTGGTGTTCTTGGTGAACTGTGTGTATCTCCTGATAAGGCCGAGGTGCAGTGGCCTTTGTACTCAGGGAGCAATGATGTTGGTTTTCATGGTACAGGAAGCCAGAGGAATGACCTGCATCAGTGCCTGAGTACATGGTGGTACCACCAGACAGCACTGTGTTGGCATTGGGGTCTTTGCTAACATTGACATCACACGTAATGATGGAATGGAAGGTAAGTTCATAGATGCCATCATATTCAGCACCCAGAAAGAAAGGCTAGAAGGGGACGGACGTGGGGGCAGCAGACTTGGTTCTTGCCAATAACAACAACCTGGCCATCAGACAGCTCATAACTCTTCTCCAGGGAGAAGAAGGTTGCAACAGCAGGCATGTCTTATGGGAAGTCCCAGGCAACGTGGCACAGGTTCCCCTTGATGTTAACATTTGCCGATGGTGATGCTGTAGCCGTGCTTGCTCAGGAGCTTCATGAGTAGTCTATAAGGTCTTGTCCAACAGGATCACATAAGGAAGAACATAGTCCCTGTAGATGGGCTATGTCTCTCCAGAGTCCATTGGGATGCAAGCGCTACTATCAAGACAGCACAGCCTTAGTGGCTATGTGCACGCTCGATGTTGATGGTCTTGAGCATGATTGCGGTCGTCTATTGCCCTAGGGTTCAGGGAGCCTTGGTCAGCAGCACCGAGTGCTCCTCCAGGGCCATACATGTCTCATATAAAGTATGATGTTGTCTCTGTCATCCAAGTTGGTGACAAACCCTCCATAGATACCTCGGGGGATGCTTCTCTTTAGGCCTTGTCACCCACATAGGAAACCTGGCCAGTGCTGCCATCACACCCTAGCGCATTGGGCTACCCACCATGAAGCAGGAGACAGACTTGGAAGCATCCCCGCCTATGAAGCCAGCTCTGTTAGCACCCGTGCAGCAATATCTGCTTCCATGACAAACGGGGACAGGTGGGGACCCAGCAGTGGAGGATCTGAGAGAAGCCTGTGCTTGCCAGGTAAACATGGATACTACAGAGCATCTTCCCTTATACACAAGGAGCTATTTTCACAGCTTCTTGAATATGAAGTAATTTTAGGCAGCACCAACAGCAAATGACCCAAGTACATTTGTATAGGTAATTACCTACAGTGGCTGATTCCACCAACCCTGGGATCCTACATTAGATTATATGGGGAGACAACAAAAATTCTGCACTTCTATAATTTCTCATTAAATAAGGGTGATGTGTGCCTTTTCCTCCCGCCATAGGGGCTGACAGATGACTACCTCTCACATCAACAAAACTTGTTTTTAGAGCACTGGGGACTGAATGTAAGGTTTCATGAATGCTAAAAGCTCTACAGCTCCCGGCCCTGACAAGCTTTGTTTCCTAGTTTTTTGTATCTACCTTAAGCCTTATTGTGTGGACGTCTACCTTGTAAATTTTATGAACCTGTATAGTTCTTAAGTTTCAATAACTGATGGTGTGTAAAAGATTTGCCCAGTAAAAACCTTAATGTGTGAATTATACACAAGGTAAACTTTATAAAGGTTTTAATTTGAGAGGTCTTAACTGATATCGGGGAAAACGGAAATGAGAAGTTGATGTTGTAAACTTCCTTAGGAAATAATAAGTAGAATTTAGGAAAAGAACCACTCTGATTTCTCTTAGCATAATTCTGCCAGGCAGGCAGGGTGGCCTAGGTTAACAGCTGCCTAGGAAAAGCTGTGCTGATCTGTCTTGATATAACCATGACAGTACTTTACATTGTAAATTTCCCCAGTTTGTCCACACAACCAGATCTTGTAATATCTAACTGTGAAATGTAGTTAATGACTCAAAGTATAACTTGGAGCCTGGAAACTGTGTCGGCTGGCAGGGATTTCTGTTCAGGGACAGTTCCTCTTTGTACATTAGCCAGAAGCAGTCACGTGCTAATACTAAAAGAGCTTTCCCTTTATTAATCTTTAAGAGATGGAGTGAGCTCCTTGGGAAGGCATATGAATTCTATAACATCACCCATTCTGCTGCTTCTGAGGCTTAAATGTAGTTTGTTCTAAGATTAGACACAAGAGACAACCCTTCTATAGACTTTGACCGGACTACAAATTAAACTAGCACCAACTGGATTACTAGAAGAACCATATTCTGTTGTATACATAAATACAAGAATCCCACAAAATCTGAGTCTGTCAGATCCCGTCCTTATCTACAGAACAGGGCTTAGATCTCCTAAATGCTGGAAGAGCAGAGAAAACTGTAATGAGTAAAGGTGGTCTTGTAGACATTGTCTGGGAGGTCCTTTGATACATAAAACTGCCAATTGTAAATAGAGAAATAAATTTTCAACTTGTGTATTAAAAAAGGAAAAAGCCTTTCGAGTACTCTCATGATTGCAGTTTCCCAAAATAATATCAGCTCAATCACCTCCAGTCATTTTCAGGTGGGACCTTCATGAGTAAGATGTATTTAAATGAAGCCATCTTTCTTTGGTCCCCACCATCTCCACCAGATCTAAACACTTGAGCAAAGGTCAGGGGTTGGGATGGTATAAAGTGTACTGGGCACAGTAAATAACCACTTTAGAAAACAATTATGACTATCTTATGTGCATGTTTTGTCTCCATGTAAGTCTGCCCTATGTACATGCCTGGTGCCTGTGGAGGCCAGAAGACAAATCCCCTGGAACCGGAGTTAAAAATGGTTTTAAACCACCATGTGGGTACACTTTAAAAGTACTACTTACTGGGGGCTCAGTTGTAAAGAACACTCTGGCTCCTCTCCCAGTTATTCCCAGCACCCTCTGCAGTTTAAAGATTCTCTTGGCATTATTTTACTCTTCCACTAGGTACACATTGTAAATTTAATGTGAAATTCCACAATTGGAGTTTGCCCTGCTGTGCCCTCATTTTGACAAGGTTGACAGATAGAAACAATGAGAAAACAAGCCGTGTCTATTTTGGAGTTAATAGCTGCAGCTGCCCTTGACAGGAAACTAGTATGAACTGTAATTTCAGGAGTTCTGTTGCCTAAAGAGTGTTCTGATCTTCTTTCCATATGGTTTTGCAAATAGATTAGTATTATGTTCTTTTATTGTTCTGTAGTTTTTGCACTTAAGTCATGAATTCAGAATGAGATGAAGGTGTAATAGCAAAAAAAGTTGAGAGAAGGGAGCCAGAACAGTGTGGTAGAACTCAGGCTTGATACAGACTTGGAGCCCAGTTCTGGCCTCTGCCACCTGTGCTAATCCTTCCCTGCTTATAAAATGGTTATAAATTTGTGATACTGTGAGGAGTGCATGAAACTCCAGTAAGCTCTCCTATTGTATTGCCTAGATTATCACATTGTTTTTCTTCCATTTTTATGGTTGCCTAAAGAGTGGTTGAGTGAGAGCATTAATAATGAGTGAGAGTAATAGTCATTAATAGTAAGTTGTTATCTAACCTTCTGTAACCTGTGTGGCTTGAGCCCTGGAACCCTGGCTAGGGAGGGAGTGAAGAAAGGACAGGCGTACACATAGACACACACAGCAAGGCTGGGATCAGATGTGGCACTCTAACGCTGCCACTACCACTGCAACCTGTGGGTATTTATTAAATAGAGCACGAGGGAGGAGTTAACTAGTTTCAAAGGAGATGTCTGGAGGCCAGCAATCTCATGGAGGAGGAAGCCACGGTTGGTAGTCTTTGCAAACACTGAGTCTTCCATAGACAAGCAGAGTCCAGAGAAAAGTTTGGCCAGTATTTCATGAGCCAATTAATTGGTCGTGTAGTCCTCAGCAGGCTGTGTCCATATCAAAATACACATTCACTTAGAACTTCACTCACTCAGACTTCCCTATCGCTACACTGACTCTCTTAGGGTTACTATTACTGTGATGAAATAACCATGAACAAAGGTAACTTGGGGAGGAAAGGGTTTATTCTGCTTATATTTCCCTATCGCTCATCATTGAAAGAAGTCAGAGCAGGATCCTGGAGGTAGGAGCTGTTGCAGAGGCCAAGAAGGACTTCTGCTTAATGGTTTACTGACTTAGCCCAGGGTTATCTCTACTCAGAATGGATTGGAGCCTCCCCCATCTATCAGTATTTTTAAAAATGCCCTATATACATGGCTGCATTCCATCCTGATCATTAATAGAAAAAGTAAACAATTCAAAATTAATTCAGGAAGTTCCTAAAACTGACCAGATTCACTGTGGTATCACAACTACCTGTGATTCCAGTTTGGGAGATCCATTGCTTTCCCCAGGATTCCAACGGCACTGCACACACAAACATATTAACAAATCTTTAAAACAACCCCAGTGTTTTTTGACACATTGAGGGTTAGTTCCTGAGTTCATTCTTGAGTTTTCTCATTGCTTTGTGATTGTTTGACCCATGTGATAATAGTGAAAATGGCATTTTGGGCTTCTGGACCAACCCTTTAAAAAAAAATAGCTGAGCCAATACCATCTTGTCTACTAGTGACTCCATCATGCAAGTGGGGCTACCCTGTACATTTGTGGACAAATTAAACGATTATTACTTTGGTTTTGGAGTGGTTCATTGCATAGCAGCAGTTAGCTGACATGTTTTCCTCACTGCATTTCTAGTCTCAGCTCATTATTTTGCACCCCAGTACCAACAAATTGTGTGGTTTTGTTTCCTTGCTTTTCCTCTTCCTAGCTATCTTGAGCCTGATGGTCTCATGCATTAGCAATAAGCTGGTAGAGTTATAGGAACTAATGGGTACAGCTAAACACTGGGTGAAGCCAGGGTAACCCCAAAGAATAGAGGAAGGAAAACTCTGAGCCAGAGAGGTCGAGAACACAGCACACAGAATCAACTAAGCTGGGCTCATAGGAGCTCAAAGAGACTGAAGTGACAATCATGGCTCTGTATGGCTCTGAGCTAGGTCCTCTGCATATACATTATGTTTTCGTAGCTTGGGTTCTTATGGGACCCCTAACAGCAAGAATGGGGAGTATCTCTGACACTTTGGCCTGCACTTGGGACCCTTACAACCTTAGCCAGTCTTGATAATGAAGGTTTGTGCATAGTCTTATTGTCATTTGTTACACCATGTTTGGTTGATATCTCTGGGAGGCCTGCTTGGTTTTTTGTTTGCCTGTTTTTGTTTGTTTGTTTTCTTTTTAAGGGAGGAGGAGTGGATCTAGGGGAGAGGGGAGGTTGGGGGCTGAAGGGCTGGGAGAAGTGGAGGTAGGAGAAACTAGGATGTAATGTATGTAAAGAATAAAAATTTAAAAAGAACTAGTGGCAAAAGCATCTGTAGATTCAATAATCACAAGACTCCAGTGTTACGAAGTAGAGAACCAAATGAATTTTAAAGTCAATATGATTTAAAAAATAAATAACCCTAAGTAGTCAGCACATAAGAGAACCTGACACAAAATGATAAATAAATGCTTGTTTAAGGAATAAGGGCTGAAGTGCACTTGTTGCTCTTGCACATCTAGGACCCAGATTTGGTTCCCAGCATGCACATGGTGGTTCACATCTGTGTTTAGTAACTCTGGCTTCATAGGATCCTATGTCCTCTTCTGATTTTAGAGGAGAGTAGGCTGCACATGGTGCACAAGCAAACACTCGAAACATACATTTTAAAATCAGCATGGTGGCTCAGGCCTGTAATCCCAGCAGCTGAGAGCCTGGGGGAGAATAGCCAGTCTAGGTTACCAAGTGAGACCGCGTCTCCAAAGATACGAGAGAGCATGTCCATAATCCCAACATTTGAGAGGTGGAGGCGGGAAGATCAGGAGATCAAGATCATCCCCCACTACGTAAGTTCAGGACAGCCAAAGCTACCTGTATCTAAGTTAAGTAGTTAAAAATAAAGAAGGGGAGAAACGGTAGAAGGCAGGTGAAAAATGTAGAAACTGGAAGAAAACAAACACCAAAAATTCAGGATCTAACACAGACCCGCTATTTCAGCACATGCTAGTCTTGTCACTCAGGTCGCCAGCTGGGTCAGCAATTTACAGCACTAGAAAGACACGCCCCCAAAGGACTCCCCCCCTCCGTTTATCTCACGAGATCATCACAACGTAGAAAGATAGAGCGCAGGTTATTCTGTCCCCATGTAACAGACAGAGAAGAGACATCACAAAGCTAGTAACTGGTTGGACTCCCTTCTGTGCATCTTCCTGCAGCTGGGCCCTTGGTCCTGATGTTGAGATCCAAAGAAGCGGCACACCTGCGCCTGAGCAGAATGAGCCAACCAATGAAGAGCCCGCATCCAAGGAGGAGGGACAGGGACGCTGCCAATGACTGAGCTCTCCCCGAGACAGATGTAACTAATGAGGACTTCGTACTGCAGAGGGACGGTTGCTCGACCAATGAAAGACTGAGACCAGACAGGCTGCTAGGCCAGATCGCCAGTAGGGCGGCAGGGCGGAGCGCACAGTCGAGCGCCAACCGCTAGAGGCCGATCCGCAGCGTGCTGCCCGGTCACCACCCGCCATGGCCCGCGCTGCCCCGTTCCTCGCCGTGCTGGCCACACTCCTCACCGCCGCCGCTGCAGGCGGAGACGCACCGCCGGGGAAAATCGGTGCGGGAAGGATGCGATGGGGTGCTCACTGAGGACGGGCGGGAAGAGGGTTCGCAGCTGACCGGGGGTAGGGGAGGGCTGCTCCGGAGACGAACTGGGTGTAGGAGAGGCTAGGGGCTGCTGGGCGCGGAAGAAGAGTGCATAGGGGAGGTGATGATGGGGAGGGTGGTTTGAGCACGAAGAGAGGGCCACCTGGGAAGGAGGAGGCCCTGGCAGTAATAGCCACTGACAGCTTGCTGTCTGCAAAGCACATGGTCTCTGCACATTTGCTCTAGAGAAGCTCGCGGGTGACAAGACAGGAGCTGGGCGGGAGGTGGCGTTCGCAGGGGTCTGCTGAGGTCCTTGTATATAGCAGAGGCTATGGCTGTGGTTCCTGCAGGACGAGAGGCCCTTCCTTAGGATGAGAAAGTTCCGTATCTGAAGAGCGCTTGGCAGGCTTTGCGGGCGCTAAAAACAAAAATAAAAAAAGGCTTTGGAAGAGTAACATTTAACCAGAACTTCCGGTCCGTAGAAGGCAGTTCCTTCCACAGGACAAAACAATAGATCGCTGGGGGTGGATTTGTTGAGTGACAGAGTGGGGAACTTTTTCCCCTCAGGCTCCATTACTGCTTAGCTCCGCCGCCCAATATGGACAACTCTTAAGCAACAATCTTTTTTTTTTTTAATTATTATTTGTGTGGGTTTTCCCAACATTTCATTCCAAAGTTCTTCGGGCATACAGTAAAGTTGAAAGAATTTTACAATCTCCCACCACCCACTCTGGCATTTGCCACTAACACCACTTACATTCTGGTGCATTTCAAAATAAAACTGCAGGCACCGG